ACTACTCCTAACCAAGTATAAATAACCAAACACCTTACCTTTAGTCATCTTCGTCTTGAAGAATCCCCCCTTCCACCCCTTCGCCTCCTCCTTTGTCTACAGGGCAGCACGGCGGCCCAGTGGCTAGCACTGCAGCCTCACAGCAAAATGCCTCCACTTCGGGCATCTACCCAAACTGTCAGCATTTTCGTGTGGAGTTCATGTTCTCCCCGTGCTTGCATGGGTTTTCCCCGGGTCCTCCGGTTTCCTCCCACACTCCCAAAAACATGACACTTAAGTAAATTGACTAATCCAAATTAGCACCAAATTTGATTCAATTCTGTCAGCAACGCATCACCTTAGCAACCCTCACGCAGCAGGAGGGAGGGGGGTTCTTGAGATCTACCCAAGCTCAAACTCCCCTCTCGCCCTGCAATGGGAGGGAGCCCCGGGCTCGAGGCTCTCATGAGCTCGGGGCTCTCTCCCGGGACAGCATGCCAAACTAGCTTATTACCAATCATCAGCTAAGTGTGAACTCTTGAAACACATTTCTGCCCCCAAATTCTCAATTCTGTTATTCAAACAACTAGTGAAAACAAGGGGCTCTATTTTAATGATCTAGGCGCAAAGTTTGAAGCGCATGGAGCAAAAGCATCAAGTATCAATCACTGTGCTGTTCTCATGGGTGCTGTCTGATATTGCATGGATGATATTGACATATAACTTACTATTTTGCCTCATCTTAATAGCAGTAACGGTCTTTTCATGAGCTGCAATATTAGCTTCATCTCGGTGAATGCGTGTTCTTTAGCGATGGTAACCGTGGTACCAGTCGCACAAATAAATGAAGGATTAAATAACGTTAGAACATGGCAAACAGTGGCAAACACTGTAACCTGAAAACTTTGTCCCACCGGCTTTACAGTGAATGATTCAGTCATTTTCATGGCAGACTTTAACCACTGCATGTCTTTTATCCACTCTTTGAAAAGTGTACATTTAGCACATGATCACTAATCAGATGTGGTAACTTTAGGTGGTTTCTAAAACTAAATCTGTCAGTGTTGTTTTCATTCTCTCGTATTCAGACCTTTAAATTTTTTTGCGGCTATAGCTTCCTGTTATCGGAGCTGAGTGATTGACAGCTGATATTAATTAATCCATTCGTGTTCTGTTCTAGCACAGTGGGCCAATAAGAAGAGCATGAAGGCGGGACAAGCATTGCGGGCTTTGTTTACTGCAGCAAGTTGACATGTCAACTGTTTTAAACCTGCTGCGTTCGGTGTTTTTAGGTGCAAAGATGCTTAATGTGTAAATGCCTCCTAATTCAGCGCATGTGGTGAACATTTTGTTGTGAAAACTGGTCGCATGACATACAATTTTATGCATTCGCACAAATGCTCCCAAATATATTTTGAGGTCGCATAGATAAAATTTCGGTCGCATATGCGACTAAAGCGGTCGCAATTTCAAGCCCTGGGCCAGCTAGCGAAGTGCTTTGCAGACAAACCTCATTTTTCTGACCTCAAAGGTGCTCTAGGGACAGATGCTACAGGTCATGGTCTTTAGCCTCATTGTTAGAGCAACTGACTACCATGCAAAGAATTGCCAGTTTGATCCCAGTTCAGCGCAGGTTGGGCGCAGTAGTGTGTACTAAATTAGGGGAGGGGTGACACAGTGTCTCAGTGGTTAGCACTGTCGCCTCACTGGTTTGAGTCAGTTGGCATTTCTGTGTGGGGTTTGCATGTTCTCCTAGTGTTCGCGTGGGTTTCCACTGGATACTCCGGTTTCCACAACAGCCCAAACACATGCGCGCTATAGTTGAATTGTGTAAACGAAATTGCCTGTAGTGTATGTAAATGAATGAGTGTGTATGGGTGTTTCCCAGTAGTAGGTTGCCGCTAGAAGGGCATCCACTGCGTAAAACATATGCTGGATAAGTTGGCAGTTAATTTTGCTGTAGCAAACCCTGATATTTACAGCCCAGGCTCATTCTGGGAACGTAGTCTCGTTGACGTTCTTGGAGACCGCGAAATACATCCCGGGAGGTAAGTATTTGTGCAGCTTTTGTTTTCGCGAATCCGCGAGAGGCTGCCGTGCGATGCTTTTTCACATGTCGAATGTCTCTCGCAAGCGCCGTTCTCGTGTAAACCCACTTGCTGTTGAGCGACTATGCGACTAGCGAATCGACCGACCCATACTCTTCCTCCTTCCCTAAGCTCAAGCGGTTTTACCGATTGACACCCCCCCCAAAAAAAATACCGTCCAGAAAAAGGAAAGCCCTCATCTGATTTTGACCACGTTTTCAGATTTGATCACATTCTCAGCCTGTTGTTCACTCTTTCACTTTATTTTTTGGATTGTTTTTGTCTTACCTGTTTTCTGGAACCGCTTTCCCCAGACTCAATCCCAGTCATCGTTGTCAGCTCCTCTCTGCGTCATCAATCCCGCTGACGTACACAATGAGCTAACCGGACAAACTGGCTGTGGCGTGAAAGCCCTCCACACCGAGGTAAGCGGTCAGCCAGCAATCGCGGAAGGGAACGGCGTCACACCACCCCGTAGCATTCGCTTAAACAAAAATGAAATGCAGCCATACGTACCTCCGGCCACGTAATTCGTGGTCTCCAGAAATGTCCGCGGGACTACGTTTTCAGAATGAGCCTGGGTTGGATATATAAAGGTACTAAGCCGAAGGAAAATAAATGAATAAATTAGGGGATGTAAATACTTTCCATCATGTACACTGTTTACAAAAGGAGCTAAACTAAAATCAATAACAGCATGTAATAAAGTGACGCAGATGTACTAGTGCAGATTACAAGAATAAGGATTACATATAGAAATGTCCCCGAACTGAAGTAAAACAACAAACACTTGTATATTTATTTTTACAGCGAGTAAAAGCCATTGAGACGGTTGGCTCTGGTTTGCTTTTCCAGGTCCCGTCAGCCTCGCTTAATGACTCAATGCAGTCTAAAACGATCGCTGCCACAACGAAAGTGCATCCATATTTATCTCTTCGGTCAATTTCCCATTAGTTCTAATATAGGTCTGCGAAACAGGGCGGCTTTAAGCCAGGCACACAAACAAATTCATCTTACAGCCTCGTCATCCATTAAGCGCTCTCTCCCTCTTTCTCTCTGTGGCAGACGTAAACAGCATTTTTTGTTTCGCAGCCAAACGAAATAACATTGAGACGAGCGGATGGTCAATAGTGGAGAAGCGATGCTCCTAAATGCTGGTTCAGATTGTCACTACATCAGCTAATTTCCCTAATTACTCACCTCCGCCGGACCAGGACTGCGGCTAATTAGTTGTTAAGCTCATCTACAAGATCATTAATTAAGTGTGAAGGACCACAGCCAAAGATCACGCACTTCACAACGCAAATGAGCTCATAAAGCTGCTGACAAGAGCAGATTAACTGCGGGGTTATGATGGTTGGGGTTTTAGTCTTGTGCTCACATGTGTTTATCTCTGCTTATTTCTATTTATTTAAAGAATACTGTATATTGTTATTAGCTACATCTGGACACTGTTGTTATTTGGGTTAATTATTTATAGGACTGGAGATAACAGGTGTGTAATCATTAAAAAATTATGAATAAATTCGTATTAAATAGCACTCATAGGGTTATTCTGTAGTTAACTGAAACTATATTCATAATACTGATTTTTTATTTGAAATAATAATACCCATACCAATAATAGTGATGATAATAATAATAATAAAAACAATACTAATATTGTTGATATTAATAATAATAGTGATGATCATTATAATAATGCTAATAATAATAGTGCTAATGATAGTAATAATAATGATAGTAGTGATGATAAATATAATAATAATAATAAATGATGATGATAAATATAATAATAGTGCTAATGATAGTAATAATAATAGTAGTAGTGATAATAAATATAATAATAGTGCTAATAATCGTAATAATAATAATAAATGATGATGATAAATATAATAATAGTGCTGATGATAGTAATAATAATAGTAGTGATAATAATTAAAAAATAGTGCTAATAATCGTAATAATAATAATAATAAATGATGATGATGATAAATATAATAAAAGTGCTAATGATAGTAATAATAATAATAATAATAATAATAATAATAATAATAAATGTTGATAATTATTATGATGATATTATTATTATTAATATTATTAATTTTATTAATATTATTAATATTAATAATAAACGGCAATAAATGTTGATAATAATAATGCTAATGATAAATATAATAATAGTGCTAATAATAATATTGCTAATGCTAGTAATAATAACAATATTAATTATAAATGTTGATGATAATTATGATGACGATAATAATAATAATAGTGATGATAAATATAACAATAATAATAATAATAATCAAATAATAAATGAAAAATAAAATAAACTATATTATTTAGAACTTAACTATATTAAAATAAACTATATTATTTAGAAAATAAATAAACTCTTAATAATATATAAATCTATACTTTAAAAACAAATAAATTACTAAAAGTTTAACTCAACTGAATTAATTTAAAATTAATAGATAAAGTTATTAAATTGTTAATACTAAATTACTAAAAGTGTATGTTGGGTTTATTATTTAATGGACTTGAGCTAATATGAAAAAAAAAATATATTTTTTACTACTTTTTACATTATATATATATATATATATATATATATATATATATATATATATATATATATATATATATATATATATATATATATATATATATATATATATAAATAAACTAGCATTAAAAAAAGAAATAGTGATACAAAGTGAACAACAGTGGGTCATTGTTAGTTAAAGCTTTTACTCACATGCATTAAATATATTATGATATTATAAAACGTTTCAACAAGTAAAAACATCCCATTGCTCTATATGCGATCTGTTTCAGCTGACTGATTATTGCTAATCTCCATTCTTGATTAGCATTGCTCTGTGTTAAGTGTGTTTGATTAAGTGTGTGCGTGTGTTGTGTGTGCAGGAGCCGAGCTCTTCGGTCTGTTTAATTACCCGGGTCGGCGTTCAGCTCAGCTCAAGTACTACACTGTTAAAGTTCCTCTTCGAGTGCAAACGCAGAGCGACGGCATCTGGAGCCTGGAGGCAAACTGGCTGGATCACATGACCCAACACTTCAACAACGGAGCCTCGCTTGTGGACGGATACTTCCAGATCAACAACCACAACAATGGTCAGTCTGTAACAACATATTGGTCACACTTTACAATAAGGTTTCATTAGTTAATGCATTACTTACATGAAAAATACGTGTACAGCATTTATTATGCATATAGTCCAGCATATACTAATGCATTATTAACATCCAAGTTCATGCTTGTTAACATTAGTTACTACATCAACAACTGTATTTTCATAAACATTAACTAACATGAATAAATACTGTAATAAATGTATTGATCATTGTTTGTTTGTGTTAGTAAATGCATGGCTTAATATTAAATAATGCAACCTTATAGACCAATTACCATGTTTGTAAATATTCAGGATGCGTGCGCAGGAAGGTGGCAGAAAAAAACGGGAGCGCCAGCATTTACAGCGAGGGAATGACATCAGATGCGGTGCAGAGTTTGTTGTTGTCTTAGAAATAAGATATGTTGATTACACATTATATATATTATTTACATAATGCTTTCAGCATATTATAACAGCTCGTCGCCCAGTGATAAGCACAGTGATTCAGCAAAATTAACGTTAAAGTGAGCGGCGTTTATCTGACAGGTCCATTGATTGATTGATTGATTGATTGATTTTATTTGACAATTTTACCAAAAAATATACTAACAAGTCCAGTTAGACTAAGTCATAGATATTTTAAAAACTGTTGAGGATAAAATACACAAAAATACATTGTGGTCCTCGAATATTCGTAAAAAATGGACGAGCAAATCATTAGGGGATTGCAAACATCAACTCGGCACAGCAAAAAACTTCAACTTTTAAACAACCACTTTTTAATTTCCCTCCTAAAAACACTCTCAATTTGAATCTCTTTAAAAATGGTGGGCAAAATATTCCAAGCAGCAGAGCTCGTACACAAAAAGAATTTCTACCTGATTCACTCTTGAAGCTGTATGGGTAAATATCCCTGCTGCATGCTCTTGTAGAATGACTGTGCACCTCGCTGACTAAAACATAACAATTAAGAAAATACTTTGGGACCGTTTTCTTTAAAATCTTAAAAACTATCACTAATTTTAAAAACTTTACCCTCTTCTCAACTTTTAAAAAATTACTTTGACTATAATGTTCCTTATTTATATGTGTCAGTGGAGGAACAACTTATTTTGGGCTGTCTGCAATTTATTTTTCATTTTTTTTAGAACTACCGCTGTACCAAAAAGCTGCAGCATAGTCAAAGTATGGCTGCACTAATGCACTAGCTAACATTTTGTGAGTTTTGGCATCTAGGAGCACTGCCTGTGTAGGAGCCATACATTGTATATTGGCGATTGGCCACAAGGTGTCAGTACGACACTATATAACTGTGGCTTCACTGCATGGAGGAAGACAGTGTTGGTAGGAAGCACACAGTTTTTTGACCGTATCGTATGGTATCATCTCGTAATTGAAGGTAACAGAGAAGTGTGCTTTTAGATAAAGGAAAGCGATTGAGTAATTCTGTTGATTGGAAGTTGATTGGACAATAAATATGTTTTTATTTGCATCTATTTGCTTACGGACTCTGACTTTTTACGCGTTAAAAACTTGCTCACTCTACCAACAATAGCGGCATTGGTAAGCCGCTACAAAAAAGTCAAAAACTTTGCTTCGTGGGACAATTGAGACGCCGCTGGAGTGGACAGCAAGGCATGGTGTTTCTACAGACAAGGACAGCGACGTTCGTTTGGATCAAGGCTTCATTTGCTGCACGTGAGGACAGCGTTTCTTCAGCATCTGAGTGAGTTCGTTTGGATCGGCTTTCTTCTGGTTTCCTGCATTAAGGTGAATCTACGCTGCGTTCATCTCTTCGCGTTTGATAAACAGCACAATAGGTATGTTTGTTGCAACAACATCATCATCATTTTGGCCATATGGAAACAATGTGTGCACACAATAAGGTTTAAAGCGTAAATCCAATGCATTGGTTGCCCATGACTGACTGAACTTTTCTTATGTGTGTTTATTGGGTTTTACAATTTGCAAAATGGAAAATGAAATCAATTTGAATGTTGAAATGGTGAATGTGACTGATCAAGGTTTAACTTCTGTTGAAAATGAGCCTGAAAGGGAAAAAAGACCAGTTAAATTAACAGCTAAAGCTTTAGTTGAAAAACTAGACACTTTACAGAAGTTAAGAAAGGCAAAGCTAAACAAAGCACAAAAGCTAAAAGAGTCAATTAACAAACAAATGTGTGATGACAATGAATACAAACCTGAGATACGTTTGGTCTTTGAGGATTTTAAGAGGTTGTGTTCAGAGGCAAAAGACACTCATGAGTCACTTTTGGTTATTTTACCGGTTGAAGAGTGTGAAAAACATGATATCTGGTTTAAAGCAAAAATGATATCAAACAATGAGTTTTTGGAACGAACAAATAAATGGTTATCTGATAAACCAGATGGTCACAAAATATCTGAAGTGGAAAATCTAGAGAGTGATGTTGGTCCTGGAGATAGTGTGTCAAATGTATCACATGCTACCTCAAAACGCAGTAAATGCAGTGCACGCAGCAGCAGTAGTTCATCTATATCATCTGCATGTATTCAGGCAGAGGCAGAAAAGGCCGCACTCATGGCACGTGCTGCTGCATTAAAGGCTAAACATGGTATTGAAGTTCAGGAGGAAGAACTGAGAAGGAAAAAAGAGCAGTTGGACTTGGATGCTCAAATAGCAGCTTCCACAGCAAGGATCAGTGTGTTGCAGAAATTTGATCAACAAAGTAAATGTTCAAGCAGTTCATCTTCAAAGAAGATTGAAAAGGTTGTGGTCACTGCAAATTATTCTTCTCAAACAACATATTTAAACCCCAATGCAAATGACTATGTCCCAGTAAATTCAATGCCACTGGATTTGGATGGATACACTGGTGTTTCTGCATCTCAAGCTGCAATACAGGATCAAAGGATTGGATGGATTGATCAACAAACATCGGAACATGCTAATGGTAACTGTTCTGCTCAAACACAACATGACTCCATAATTCAGCATGCTACAAATATCTTACCTGCACAGGGTGATCCTTTGCTTGAAATTCTGAAAAAACAGGAGGAATTAACAGCGCATCTTGTTCAACAGCAAGCAAAACCTCGTATTCTACCAAAGAAGGAAATTCCAACATTTGATGGTGACCCATTGCAGTATATTCCATTCATTAGAGCATTTGAGCATGGCATTGAGCAAAAAACAACCAATTTAAAGGATCAGTTGTATTTCCTTGAGCAGTTCACAAAAGGGCAGCCTAAAGATCTTGTTCGCAGTTGCCAATATATGTCTTCAGAAAAGGGCTATGCAATGGCCAAGAAGTTGTTGAAGGAACATTTTGGTAATGAGTTTAAGGTATCTACAGCCTATATGGAGAAAGCCCTGGGGTGGCCTACTTTAAAGGCTGAAGATGTGCAAGGATTGCAGGCTTATGCTTTGTTTTTGCGTACTTGTTGTAATACAATGGATGAACTCTCATATATGCAAGAACTTAACATGCCTAGCAACATGAAATCAGTGGTTATGAAGCTGCCTTACAAATTGAGGGAGCAATGGAGAGCTAAAGCCTGTCAGATAATGGAGTCTGTTCATGGCAGGCCAAAGTTCTGTGACATTGTTGAATTTATTGAAAAACAGGTTAAAATGGCATCTGATCCTGTTTTTGGTGACATTCAAGACAAGCATGGTGCAAGTAAACTTAAGGTTCAACCACACAAGCCCTTTACAAGAAGTAGTTTTGCTACTGACATTTCAACTTCTATTCCAGCAAAGAAGTTCAGTGATGCTTTAGCACAACCAAAATCTTGTCATGTGTCTAAGTCTAATGGAGACTGTTTGTTTTGCAAAAATCAGCATTTATTGGAAAGGTGCTTTGCATTAAAGAAAAGAACACAACATGACAAGATTGAATTCCTGAAGGCCAAGGGAATTTGTTTTGGCTGTTTAAAAACTGGGCATAAAAGTAAAAGATGCGAGAATCGACTGAAATGTGACATTTGTGGAGAAACACACCCCACAATCCTGCATATTTATGGCAAAGAGGTAATACTGAAGAAGGCTGAAGAAAAGCGCAAAGATACATCTGTGCAAACTTGTGGTCACACAGGGGCCGGGACTGAAAGAACTTTAATGTCAATCATACCAGTTCAAGTCAAGGCCATTAAAAGTAACAAGGTGGTGCAGACATATGCTTTTTTGGACCCAGGCAGTTCAGCCACTTTCTGTTCTGAACACTTGCAGGAGGAGCTGAATTTGAATGGAAAGAAGATTAATATTCTGCTTCGTACTATGGGTCAGGAAAAGTCTGTGTCTTGCTGTGTTATTGATGGTCTGGAAATCAGTGGTCTTAACACTAATAATTTCTTTCCACTTCCTGCTGTTTACACACAACAGAAAATGCCTGTGAGTTCTCAGAACATCATAACTCAAGAGGAGTTATCCAAGTGGTCATACCTGGATAAAGTGAAGATACCTTGCATTCAAGCAGAGGTTGATTTACTGATTGGAATTAATGCAGCTAATGTGATGGAACCACACAAGATTATTAACAGTCAAGGTAATGGGCCTTTTGCCATTAAAACCCTATTGGGGTGGGTTGTTAATGGGACTGTGGAAGGAAACAGTGAACATAGGAATGAAGTTGGCCATTCTGATGTTACTGTTAACCGAATTTCTGTTGTTAGATTGGAGGAGCTGCTTAACAACCAGTTTAATCATGATTTCAATGAGAAGACTGTTGATGAAAAGGAAATGTCAAGGGAAGATCTTCAGTTCATGAGTATAATGAACAATTCGGTCAAGCATCAGGATGGACATTACAGCTTAAGATTACCATTTAAGTCTGATGTCACATTACCAAATAATCTTGGTGTTGCTAAGCAACGGTTGCTTGGTTTAAAAAGGAAATTGGAAATAAATCAAGAATTTCATGAGAAGTATACTTACTTTCTTGAAGGTGTCATACACAAGGGCTATGCTGAGAAGGTACCTGATAGCCAACTTGATCGATTGGATGGTAAAGTTTGGTA